GGTCTGCTCATTTTTTGTGTGTGCCATTTTCAACAGATTATTTGTCTTATTATTGAGCTGTAAGAGTTCTTTATATGGGTAAAAATTCTTTATGAGTTATGTTTTGCAAATATTTACTTCCAGTCTGTGGTTTTAAAAATATTTCCTAAGTGTCTTTTTCAAAAATTAGATATTTATACTTTTTATGTATCAATTTTATCTTTTATGTTTCACGCTTATTTTGCCCCTTCAAATCTTTGCCTAACCCAAGGTATTAAGATTTTTTTCCTATGCTTTCTTTTATCATTTTAACTCCTGTGTTTAGGACCAAAATCCATGTAGAGATGATTTCTGTATATGATTGTGCAGTAGGATTGAAAAATTTGGATATGGGTCTAATTTTTCCAGCAGCATTTAATGGCAAGAACATCCTTTTCCTCCATTGAATTATCTTGGAAACTTTGTCAGAAATTAATTGGCCATTATGTATGTGTGTCTGTTTCTTCATACTGTATTCCTTCTTTTCATTATATGTCCATCTTCATGTCAATAGCAAACTCTCTTCATTAAGGTAGCATTATAATAACTCTTAAAATCAGGTAGTGTAAGATCTCCAACTTTGCTCTTCATTTTAAAAATTGTTTTTGGTGTTGTCAAGTCTTTTTAATTTTCATTAAAAAATTAAAATTAGTTTATTCATTAACAAAATTCTACTTTTTTTGATTTGCATTGACCCTATAGCTCAATTATGGGAACATTTACATCTTACCTATATTGAATCTTCCATTAAGACTGTTCCAGATCGTCTTTAAGTTCTCTCTGCAATGTTTTAGAGGTTTCACTGTACAGATCATGTATGTACTTTGTGAAAGTTATTCTTAAGCATTTCATGTTTTTTTATGCTATCACATTAGTATTTTTAATGTAAATTTTCAATTGTTCACTGCTAGTGAATTGAAATATAACTGATTAACTTTTTATACTGAGACCTTCTTAAACTTACTCTCTAGTTCTAGTAGCATTTTAGGAGATTCCATAGAATTTGCTTCATTGCTGATCATGTTCTCTGCAACTAAAAACAGTTTCAATTTCCAGCCTGATTTTTCTTACCTTACTGCACGAGTTAGAACTTTTAGTCCAATGTAAGTAGTATAGCACAAGATAACAGCAGACATGCTTGTACTCTTCTTGCTTCTGGGAAGCATTCACTCTTTAACCATTAAGCATGACGTTTGCTACAGGTTTTCATAAGTGTTCTTTATCCGATTGAGGGAGTTCCCTTCTGTTCCTTATTTGCTAATAGTTTTAATTATGAATGGATGTTAAATTTTATCACATGTGTTTTCAGGGACTTTCCCCCATGTTACTCCCAACACTTAAACTGTTTTTGCATATTTGAGGCACCTCCATAAATACTTGTTGAATGAATGAAGCTGGGCTAAATACCTCTGAGAGTGCAAGGCCACACTTGAGCTACTCAGAAGCATGAGATGAGCTAGGAGACATGAAAGAATTTGAATGCCTATTGGTCTGGGGGTACTAGATTTGCATAAATGATTATATATAATTTTTATAACATTCTTATGAAGTAATTATCTCCATTTTTAAAAAGAGTAATGAGTAATAGATGGAATGATTAAAAAGCTATAATATGGTTGGGATGTGGGGAAGAAATCCTGTGTTTCATAACTCAATAAAGAGACATCATGAGGTTCAGAAAACAAAATAATATGCAAAAGAGGCTGGTTTCATATATAGTGCAAGTTAAAATGGAGTATGATTTGTTCATTTGATGGAGCAAAAGAATCAAGAATCCAGTTGGTTTGGTTACGAGGAATGTTGTCCTTGGAACAACTGTTGGACCAGTAAGAAGGAAACGTAATGCTTGCAAAATACTTGGCTCGGCCATCTATGATATCTTCATAGTCAAAATAATGTAAATTTAAGCTATTCGTTTTGCAATCCTGAGGATTGGATTTATAGAGAAACCAAAAAATGATTTTTTTTAAACATATTTTATTGATTTTTTACAGAGAGGAAGGGAGAGGGATAGAGAGCCAGAAACATCGATGAGAGAGAAACATCGATCAGCTGCTTCCTGCACAGCCCCTACTGGGGATGTGCCCGCAACCAAGGTACATGCCCTTGACCGGAATTGAACCTGGGACCCTTCAGTCTGCAGGCCAACGCTCTATCCACTGAGCCAAACCGGTCAGGGCCAAAAAATGATTTAATTTTTGTTCCATGTCAAAATGCAAATGTTTATCGACCTTGACAAAGCAAAAGTTGAGATAGATCTGAAGGAAGTTATAAAGTGGGAAAGAGCCCTGGCCGAATTGCTTAACTGATTAGAGCATCATCCCATACACCAAAAGGTTATGGGATTATTCCCAGTCAATGCACATACCTACATTGCAGGTTCCATCCCAGGTCAGGGCATGCATAGGAGGCAGCCAATTGATGTTTCTCTCCCCTCCCTTCCTCTCTCTTTAAAATCAATAAAAACATATCCTCGGTGAGGATAAAAAACATGTATGTCCTTATGGGAGGATTTAAAAATATGTATAAATAAAGTGGGGAAAGAAATGAGAACATTTTAGGGATGTTAACATTCATATTTTCCAAAATGGGAACATTTAAACCCTTCTGAGCCTCAGTTCCTATCTGCAAAATGAGATACTAATAAAGTTGTTGTGAAGATTAATGAATGTAAAATGTCTAATATATGATAGGTATTCAAATAGCTGTAGTAGTGATAGGAGCAAAGAAAGGCAGGCCTGTAGATAGAAGGAAAGAAGCCCGTTCCCACTAAGAGGGAGCAGAACCTCAACTTTAAGGTCTATAATCACCTCCCCTGCAGACACTGTCACCGCCCAGAGAGCAGGCTGGTGGACATTAGAGTGTGTGCCCAGCCCATCTGAATGACATGACAACCCTGTGAGTGGTGTTATATTTCCCATTTTGCAGGTGAGGGAGTAAAAAGTCTTTGTGGCCAACTGGTTTGCAAAGGACCAGCCCTGAAGTGGCTAAGCCATGGCTGAAACCCAGCAACTGTGACTGGATTCTGTGGTCTGCCACGGAGCCAAGTGGCATAATGAATCTGAAACGCTGGGTGAGCTCCTGGCACATCCTCTGGCCACATTTCTAATGAATAGGCCCGTAGCTTTAATGAAAGGGGAAAAAGCTTATTTCCTTCAACAGCTGCAAATTATTTACATTGCATTTGTGGTGATGGCTAATAAAAGAGCAAAGGAGTGTGGGGACAGCCCAGGTGGCTGTAATTATTTTGGGTCCATAATGAAGCACTGGATTAAATACCAACAAGTGAGCATGCGGCCCCTTTCAGACCTGCCGTAGACAGAGCTGCTGTCTGCCCTGGGAATGATTCAATCAGCAGAAATGGACATCAGGGGACAAGACCTGAGAATAGCCAGGCATAGGTCCCTGCCCCCACTAAACTACCTCTGGGTTAGTTCATAATTGCTGTGGAATCGGTGGGAAGGACCAAAAAGGTGGCTCCGGTTAAGGGCACAGGAGCCATTGCAGTGAGGCTGTTCTCAAATCTAGAAGCTCTTGCTTTGCCATGTTTACTGAAAAAATATGTAATAAAACATGTATATATATTATAATGGGTGTTATATATTAGAACGTGTATAACATATTATAATATGAGTGTGTGTGTGTGCACGCGCGTTTTCTGGGTATGGAGTATGGAAGAGTTTTTGGTTTTCTCAACTATTAGTTATTAATGCTGTGGTCATCTTGGAAAGTCACACCTGTGGAAGTAGCGTCTTCATTGCTTTATAATAATCACATCTACCTCTCGGGTTGTCGTGTGGAGCATTATGTGTGTGATGACACTTTTAAACTGTGAAGCAGGGGGTGAGGCTTGGCATCAGGATCCTATCCTTTGATTATTCTAGAGCTCCCTCTAACATGTCATTTTGTTTCTAGAGCACCTGAGAATAGCAAGGCATAGGTCCCTGCACCTGCGGTTACGTGGGGAATAAAAGGTCAAACCAAGGCACTCACAGCTGAGTAAACCAATGAATATTTTAGAAAGTTCACTCAGCATCCCAGTGTGGAGGGTGAATTAGGGTGGGGCAAGACTTCTTATTGGAAGACCAGTCATGGCTGCTATCTGGATAGGAGACAGTGGGGCCAGCACCAAATCAAGGCAATGGAATTGGCAGAAATGGAATATTCATCAGTTAAGATTCTCACACAGAAATAGTACACCAATAAGGGCACGTCCCACTGTAATTCTGTACCCTTTATTAGCCACTGTTGACCATAAGTATCTTGAATTCATTTTCTAGGACTGCCTTAACAAAGTACCACAGACGAGGTGGCTGAGAAAAACGGAAATGTATTGTCTCATAGTTCTAGAGGCCAGAAGTCTCAAATCAGGTTGTCAACAGGGCCATACTTGCTCAGAATGCTCTCTCCTGGCTGCTGGTGGTTTCTTGACTTGTGACAGCACAACTCCAGTCTTCCCATCGCGTTCTCCTTGTGCTTATGTCTGTCTCTGTGTTGAAATTTTCCCTTTTTATAAGGACACCAGTCATTTTAGATTAGGTCCTGCCCTAATGGCCTCATTGTAACTTGATTACCTCCATAAAGACCCTATTTCCAAATAAGTCATATTTCACGGTACTGGAGGTTAGGACCCCAACCTATGTTTTGGGGGACACAATTCAACCAGTAAGTGACCCGGAAATATTCAAATGTTTATCATATCTTTACAGATATGTTGGTACTTACACGTACATGTATGTATATGGGATGCAGTACCAGTTTCTAATTGTGGATCACATTAGGCTGAAGTCAGAAATAAGGTTAGAAATCCTAGCACACAGCCATAATCTGCTAGTCTGTTGATTGATCATGGACTTAAACTCTGAAACATCTATTAATAGATGGCAGTTTTTGAGAATGAAAGCTTTTAATCCATTTTTGACAATATCTATACGGGGCATCCGGAAATAGAAATAATGGGGTTGCGGTAAGGTAAACGGTCCATGACCTTTTACAGCCACAACCCGTGTTTGCGTCTCGGTGCTGGCCTTACTTTCTGTGTGCCTGGAGTGAGCTGTCGCCCCTCTCTCTTTAATTCTCTGGAGCCTCCTTGGCTATAAAATGAGACTTCACATGCTCTATGGTGGTTGAATGAGAGCCTACGATTGGATAAATATACAATATTAATATTATTATTATGGATTTGTTATTCAAATGACGATCTTAAATGTCAATCTTTTTTCCCCCCCATAGTCAACAAGCACAAGCCATGGATCGAGACATCGTATCATGGAGTCATTACTGAGAACAATGATACAGTCATTTTGGACCCACCGCTGGTAGCCCTGGACAAAGACGCACCAGTTCCTTTCGCAGGTAAGGTGATGGCTTAGCCTGGCTGGGCTTGGCTGGCTGTGGAGACGAGCTGGGGAACCTCACAAGGCCCAGGCTCCAGCTTTATAGCTGTTGTCACTATGCTGTGCGTCTTACAGGTCAGCCTGCGATTCCGAAGCTGCCTGCCTCTTCTGATTTCTGGTGCGGATTCTGTATCTCCGTACGGTTTTTGTCCTTGGTGTCACTCCCCACGCAAGATGCTTATTGCTTCTGCTTCTGAGAGGTGGTATATTGCTGAAGTGGCCCCTGGACGTTGGAAAAGTTGGGCTAGTATGTACCGTCGGGGAGTTGTCTCTAGAAAGATGACCTACAGACACAAGAAAGTGTATGACCACTGTCCCCACTACCCACATATCCTGGACAGGTGAAAACTTGTAGCTTGGTAGATTGGTAAGAGGAAAGGGAAAGAAAAAAGGCCAGTAAATACTTGCTCACGGTAGGACAGAGCCGAGCCCTTGAGCTTCAAAGTGGGTGTTGCGTGTGGAGGAGGAACCCAAAGGCAGTGCCATTTGGCAGTGTGCAGCTTGTGGACAGAGAGCCTTCTCGTTGTTTTCAAGGCTACGGCTACTTCCTCTCTAACCTGCAAAGTCCAGGTCCCAGGTGGGGTGTGTGAAGCGTACGGCCATGTCTCATGTTTCCATGGATTTTTGGCAAAGAGAAGGGGATGGGTGATGGCAGGGGGCGGAGAGACTGAACGAACAATTGCTGAAGATGCCTGCATCATGAGTAATATTGTTAACATTTTATAACTGTCAGGAGACAGACAGGAAATTTAATGAAGGTTTTCAAGATTTCTAGAAGATTGCTTTATGATAGATGGGTGCCGGGCTGAGGTTTTCACCATGATGAAGTCTATTTTTTCTGACAGTTTGTCTGCTACATTATGAGCTCCTTGGGCAGAAAAAAAAAAATTGGTTCTTTTGCACTTTGAAGAGATAAGGTTTGTGAAGGGCCTTTTTTCCATTACAGAATATTATAAAGTGAGGAGTGAGGGGGTGGGTTAAATGGGGCAAATTCAGCCTGATGTGAAGATAAACCCATAGGCATTCTTGCAGAGCATGTGGAGATGCTCTGGGCTCTCAGAAGAGGCTTTATCTTGATTTTATGTTGAATGATAACCACCGCGGCCACCTGACTGTGACTTCCATGGTGAGTGGAGTTGGGACATTCCCATACATCCTCCCGCCGTCCTCAGAGTCTCAGCTCAAGCAGATTCCACTGGGAAGTATAAATCTCACGCTGTCTTTTCCACAAACGACGAGGCGTCTCCCCCACCCCTTTGCCGGCCTGGGAATATTCCAACTCATCCCTTTCTTGGACATAACTAAACGGTATTGGGGTTAATCAGCAATTCTTAACAATCCCCGGAAATGAGATTTTAAAACAAACACTAGCAAAAACGTTTGGGTTATGAACATGTTGGGGTTGGCTTACACTGTGTGCTTAGTAATCAGACATAACCTTTAGTGATTGGGAGATTGAGCATAAAAAAAGGAGGATTCTAGTTTATATTGATGAATCAGGTCAGAATGCAGAGCCCAGTTGCGACTTCCCTCTCCAGACACGCCATGTGCTCCTGGCTTCCCTCCGCCTCTGCTACCCCAGAGCCCATGTGCAGAGATCCTTCCACCCAGCAGGCCCTCTCAGTCACCTTTCCATCCCATTGTGTGATCCCTGTTTAAAACATAGCAGAGAAAACCAATGACATTTTAAATGATGAGCAAATGGATGCTGTTAAGCCACGTTAGTGTAGTGAGGCTAGCTCTTTAAGGGATGAGGGAGGTGTCTGATTGTTATGTCTGCCCTTGGTATGGCCCTGTTTCATCATTTAGTGAACTAGAAAATGAAAGTGGTTGAAAAACTGTTCTGCAGTCCAATGATAAGCTTTCTAATGTACAGACCAAAATG